CGGCATGCGCGCGCGACAACGCGCGCGTGCGCACTTCGCCCCATCTGCCGCCATGAATTCGACAACTTCTGATGTGTGATAAACGATTGCGCGCGCATGATATTCGTTGCAGAGGATGAGGGGGGGGGGCGTTACCAGCTTGGCTGGGATGCTACGAATTCAGATGTAGGATGGACAATGGGGCAGAATTCTGACTACGTTGCAATGCGAAAAGGTGGCCCGTGAAGTCTGGGTGGTGGGTAGATCCCACTTACAACATCTACGTCGTGTACGCCATGTGGGGTGAGCTGAGGTGAAAACTATGTGGTGCAAGCTGTGTGGTGTAAGCTCTGTAGTGTAAGCTAGGTGGCGCGAAAATGCGTGAACTGGAGGTGAAAGGCATGGGGTGTAAACTATGCGATGTAAGCAATGTTGCGTAATCCCACCAGCCCTCTGGGCGTAGATGGTCTCACGAGTTCTTCCTTTCCTTTTCCAGATCCCCTCCTCTCTCCGGGGAAGGGTACCCTCCCCCTCCCCTCCCTGAGGTGTTCGATGAAGGTTCGTGAAGGATTCAAACGTCCAAGATAACCCAAGATAGCTCCAAGCAGGCGCCCGATGCTCCAAAATGTCCTCTACTGTAAGGTGGTTTAAGATAGCCGACTGTGGTTCAATCTAGCTCCCGACATGCCTCCAAAAGGCCCCAAGAGGTTCGCAAAACGGCCCCAAGTGCTCTTAGAACGCCCCCACGACCCTCCCAAGAGCCCTAAATCTTTCAAATACCTGACGACAACCAATTGGCAAACTCTTTGTACCAAAACATGTGGTCTCTATTCTACATGTGCTTGAGAAATTGTTTCTTGAAGTGTTTCGAGAACTTGCGGTTGTGGATGGACTCTGGCGCCCGCGCGCGGCGCGCGCGCGTGGCCAGCAAAACCTTGTATGAGACGGATTCGTGTAGTGGCCGCGACCTGGATCAACACACGGATGCACCGCGTGGTGACATGAGAATGCGGGCTCAGGACGAGGTTGCAACAATCATATGGCTTTCTGGTGATGTTAGCAAATGCGCGCGGGCAGAACTTTTGGCACAGCTGCACTGGAAAAGCAAGAAGTGTTTATGTATTTATGTTGACGTCCTTGCATAACTGATGTGTTTGGTCTAAATTTGCATGCGGGGAGGTGACTCGGGCGGGCGAGGTATCCTTATGACGTCGACAACGGCGGCTTCGATGATAATGGTAGCGATGCCAGCGGGGATGGCGAGGACGACAATGGCAAGGCCAATGACGGCGCCGATGCTGGTGACGACGATGACGATGATTTTCATGCGTCGGCGATGAAGGTGGTAAAGTGAAGATAGCGGCGCTGACGGCAACTGGCGGCGACGATGACGGCGGTGATGCGATGGCGCTGTCGAGGGTGATGGCGAGGAAGTGCGCGCGCAGAAATCGAAGCGACCTTCCATTTTCTTAGGGAAACGCGCACACGTGTTTACATACATGTTTGACAACTGCTCGATCGAAACGCTCGGAACACCACTGGTTCTGGTTGGCAAAATGTCGACACACGCGCGTGGCGGCACGCGTGAGCGTTGCCCGCATGCCGTTATTTGATGCGGATCCGTGCAGTGGGCGCACGCTTGATCAATGCAGATGCACCCCGTGGTGACATGGGGATGCAAAAGTCGGGCGAGAGTGCTGAACCCACATGGTTCTCGCACGATTTGAGCAAATGCGGGCGGGCAGAGAACTTGCAAAACTTGGTATGAAAAGCCTGTGATGTTTTGCTATGTGAGGCGGGAGTGCTTGCAACATTCATGCGTATGGTATGAGCTTGCACTGTGCGCGCGCGTGTGAACTGCGTGCCGCTTTCTGTTTGCAAAGGGTGTTTAGAGCATGGCCTGTTGAGATAAACGAATGCGCGCGCATGGCATTATTTGACGAAGATGAATGGGCGATCACCAGTTGGCTGGAATGACATGAGTGTATGTAAAAACGAGCAAGGAAGCAGAAACGTATCTACTTTGTAATTTATCATGGCATCGGCTTCAGTCCGGCCTCGTGGGTGTTTTTTGGGTTTTCTGAAAGAGCATGTATGGTTAAACATTGTGGTGCAGCCTGTGTGGCAATCTAAATGGTGCACTTTATGGGTGGCGCTCCACCTTGTAGAACTTGACATTGTCAACTCCACTGCTCTCGCAATCGTTCCGCCCTCCCACCCGCAAACGATTTGGCCAAACCCAAGCGGCAACGATAGCGGTTGCCGATTGGGACTCGCTAGAACATCTCTGCGGCCGCGCTGGCGCGCGAATGCGCGCGCAGAGCGGCCAGCTGGTTTGGCACAACTGATGCGGCCGTGATGGCGCTTACTGGTGGGACCTTCCCAGCGCGCTTCAATGGCTGCGCTAGCGCGGGCACTTCAGCGCGTGCCGATGATTCTGGCAGGCGCGGTATCATGATGATATCGACAACGGCGGCAACGATGTTGATACCAGCGATGGTGGTGGCGATGGGGACTATGACGACGGCAAGGCCAATGACGGCGCCGATGCTGGTGACGACGACGATGATAAGGCCCATGTGTTGGTGATGAAGGTCATCGACTGGTGATGGCGGCAGTTGCCGCGATTGGCCATGACATGTGTTGATGCGACGGCGCTGATGAGGAATGGTCACGAGTGCGCGCGCACAAATTCAGCACACATGGCCCATTTGCTCGACAAACACGTGGCCAGCAAAATGTCTTTGCAGAGCTTGATTTGAGAAGGCTTCGAAGGCAAGGTGTCTTAGACTGGCTTCGACACGCGCGCGGCGCTCGCGCGCGTGGCCCGCAGGGTGCTCTTTGATTACGGATGTGCGTACTGTGCTCGTGCTGGATGAGCGCACATGACCCGCATGGTGAAAAGGGAAGTACGGGCTCTGCACGATCCTAGGCTTGTCCTATGAGCTCTGCAGGCACAAGCGGACAGACGGGTAAAGGAAGCCCAAGGGGCGTTGGTGTGCTTATGCTGAAACGCGTGCAACAGTCATGTGTGTTTGGTCTGATGCTGACACGTGCGCGCGCGTGTCGACTTTTTGCGTTTTTGTTTGCAAGGGGGGCATTGGACAACAACCTTTTGAGAACGGCGAGTGTCCCGCATGGTGCTGCCTGTCCAAAAGGAATGAGAGAGGATGTCGGAACCAGTTCGGCTGGGATGGTACAAATTTGTACTGAAAATGAACGACGAAGCCCAATCATATGTACATTGCAATGTCCCAAGGGATACCAATAAATCCGTGTTCGGGAGGGGGGGGATCTTGCTATTCTATAGAAGAGACTACCTACGTGCTGAAAATATGCGGTGCAATCTATGCTATGCAAGCTATGTGTCAGACTTTCAGTTTCAGCTTTGGGTGTCATATATGTATAAATATATATATATATATATATATATGATATGTGTGTGTAGACAAAGGCTTGTGGTATAATGTCGGTGCAAGCCATGTGGCGAAAGGTATGGTAAGCTATGTAACTATATGCTGTAAACGATGTGGTGCAGGGCTACACCGTGCAAGGTCTGCGATGTAAGTCATCTGTTGCAGGCTGTGTGGTAGGCAGCGCGAGGTGTCCACGAGGCGCCCACGGGCGGGCCCCGGGCGGACACGGGCGCCCACGGAGCCCCCGCGGGCGGGCCACAGCATGCACCAACCAGGCACCAGCCGAAGCCCGGCCACGTCGACCCAACGCACGGGGCGCAATCGCTCCGGACTGCCCCTGGAAGAAGGAAACGCGCCGAGCGGGAGCATCTGACTGGGCCCGCTCCCCAGCCCCACCTTAGGATAACCCTCCCTCTACGAGCCCCCAGACTAGCCGGGCACCAGGCGAAATCGCACCACACCCGCCCAAGTACTTCCGCACCCACAGCGAGAGCCCCAAAGTTTAGGTCGGGTATGTCCTCCCACCGGCGGATCTTGGAGGAACCAAACAAATGTTCGAAACATGCACCAAAATACCCAAAAATAGGCAAACAATGGTCCCCGAACTATAATTGGACTATTTTTGAATACTCCACCTGTAAAGACGTGCCCGACTTAACCCTTAGTGCAACAACCGTCCAGGGAACAGACTTTGAAAGGTTTGCGCGGACCTCCGCAGAGCCCCCGCAGAAATGGTGACTCTGATCCGCCCAGCTACTGGCGCACCCGAAACAAAGCAGCCGCGGGTCGAAACATTCACTACAGTAGGGGCCAGTCTACAAGAAACCTTCCACAAGAAACCCAATTTGGAGACCCCAGGACGTCCATTGTTTTTTGGGTGTGGGAACGTCACGCCTTGCATCGCAAAATCATCGAAACCCAAGAAACCCAGGGCACCCTGGATGCAAGCAGGGTGTTTCTTGGCATGGGTCTCCACTGTATTCTTCTCTCGCTCTCTCCAGCTGGATGTTTCAAAGTCCTGGTTCGCGAAGTCCTAGTTTCCAGGTCCCTGACCAGAGGCACAACATAGATTTTCGGAGCTCCGCGTAGAATTTTTGGTTCGGCGCTGACCCCCCGCCCTGGCGCGGAACTTCGAGAGTCCATGCTTTTGGGGCGGGAACGGCGTCATAATGCCATTGGCTCAACATACGTTCCAGGATGTCTGGAATATCTAGCATGAGGAGATCCAGGAAATCCATGGAAACCTTGCAGCGTATCATTATCATGACATGACCACTTGCTCCTATAAACTGCGCTTGCGTGCCGTTTGTTTCTTCTCCGGCTGTGCGGCGACCCTGACTCTGGAATCCACCTTGCTTTGGGCGAGTTTGTAAGCGAGGACCCCCCCGACTTTTCAAGTTCCTTTGATGCCGACTTCTGCCATACATTGCCGACGCTGTTTCAGCCGCAGCTTTGTGGAAATATCCACCCTAGTCCTCTGAAGCGGGAATTCCTGGCATACTTTTTCGCCTCGCTTCGGGTGCGTTTACGAAAACGTTAAGTCGGGGTGGAGGAGGAGGAGCAGGAGGAGGAGGAGGAGGAGGAGGAGGAGGAGGAGCAAAGGGCCTTCACGGCCACGCGCCCCTGGAAGCCGGGGACCGTGCAGCTGTACGTCTCGCTCCGCTCGTCCAGGTCCTTCCAGAGGAACGAGTGCACCTGATCGACGAAAAGGAGCGGGCCTTCCTTGAGATATGGGCGTCGCATTTCTTCATGACGGGCGATTGCTCCGTGATTCGCACCCCGGGACAGATCGGTCCAGCTCGAAACACTCGGTGGCAACTCATGGGAGCCTCCCATACCATCTTGTCGGCTCTTGCGAATCGACGATCATCGGAGCTAGCCGACGCTAGTTCGGCGCTATCTCGTCGACTCCCAGACTAGGGGCTCACATGCGAAACCTACCCCTACCCCCCACGATTTCTGAGGGGGAGGGTGGGGTTCACTTCGTTCGGGAGCTCCCGAGCGAGGTGAACCCCACCCTCCCCCTCAGAGATCGTGGGGGGTAGGGGTAGGGTTCGCATGTGGCCCCCTACAGACGCTAATCGACGCTAGTCGACGCTAAAGACGCAAATCAGAGGGTATACCAGGCTCCCATGCTTTGCTACCGACGGGTCTAGGGCTCTGGTCGAGATGTTTCTCTATGTTGCAGTCCTTGCGCAACGCAGGATCTCATCAGAATTACGCGGAAAGCCACAGCGAACCTACGCCGCGGCTTACCCGGGTCGCCAGCTTGGCACAGCGAGTGGAGCAGATGGCGCTTACGCGCGGCATCACGCGAAAGCTTACGCGCGAGTGTCCGCGCAGCCGTCCCGTTTTTCTCCGTCGCCCACTCACCTGGTCGAGCTTCGAGAGCAGCCTGCCATCCATGGGCGCGCGCGCGCGACCCGAATCGTGCCTCTTGGCGGCTGGGCGCGCTCGGGGGGGGGGGGGCCCAGAGGACTTGGATCGGGTGTTGCCAAAAGAAATTGCTCCTGGCCCAAGGTACCCGCGGGCTTCCCCAAAAAGCCTTCACGGCCTCCAGAGCACCCCTCACGAGGCCCAGGGGGCCCCAGGGTAGGGCAACGAAATCTATACATACCCACTGCTCCCTGACCAGGCCCATCCTGAACCCGGCAGTGGTGTATACGCCACGCCCTCCTGGCATGGCCATCTCGGCGTAATTCGGCACAGCTCCTGGCTTCAGGACGGGCCTAGCCAGGGAGCAGTGGACAACGCATAGACCTCGTCGCCCGACAGGGGCTCCAACGTGGAGCGAAAACCTTGGCGCACCTTGGGCAGGGGGCGCCTTCAGCCGCCACCCGACCTGGCCATCGCTCGGACGTCTATTACCCGTGCAGGTTTCGATTTCGTGTGCGTGTATGTTTGACAAGACGGCTCGAGATGCTCCTCCATGGTATGCCATCGAGAATCACACGCACGAGTCCGAGCGACGCCAAGCGACTTCAGGGTCGGACCTCCACTCGAGGAGGGGGAGCACTGGCGGCGCGCACCGCGGGGCGCCGTGCGAGAGGGGGGGCGGCCCTTGGAGTGTGCGGGGGGCGCCTCGGAGGGCGCGGGGCCTCTTTCGAAGGGCCTGGGCCCGAGGGGCGGAGGGGGCGAGGCTGGAGTTCTGTTTGACTACCTGCCAGACTGCTCGGAATTAATGTTTGCGATCAAGGCCAGACGAAATGTTAGAACAGCATAAGAGTGGAGGGAGATCGCTCGAAACGGCCCCTGGGAGGAGGAAGCGTGAGCATCCAGCCAGGCTGGTCCCCCAGCCCCACCTTGGGATAGCCGCGCCTCTGCGACCCCCGACCGTAGGCGCCTCAGGAGGCTTCCCAGACGCCGGGAGGGCTTCCGAGAAGCCCCCTGCCCTCTCAGAGCAGCCCCCTGCCCTCTCAGAGAAGGCCGCCCAACACCTCCCTGTGCGTGCCGCCCGAGCAGGCACAGAAGCTGCAGCATCGGAGGGACAAAAGGCTTCCGGAAGGGACGTCGGGCCCCCCCTGGGGGGAGACACGGCGGCACCCCGACGTCGGCTCTCGCAGCTCCGCGCAGACCCTCTCTGACCGGCGCCGGGCCCCGCGTCCTGGCGCGCGAGGCGCCCCCGAGGGCCGCGCCGCGGGCGCCGCCAGGGGAGGGCCGGCGCCGACCCAGGAGGTGTCCGCGCGGGCCTCCGACGCTCCAGGACACACCGCGCGGGCCTCCGAAGAACCCTGCGCACGGCGGGCACGACGGCACGAGCTACGCCGGCGTCGCCTCTTCGGCTCCGCGCTGGAGGTCTCCTGGTCCTCTGGGCGGCCCCCCGGCCGTGACTCCGGATTCGCTCTGCCTTGGGCGGGTTCGCAAGCGGGGCGGAAATGTCTGCCCTGTCCTTCAGGCTCCTCGCACGTCGATGTCCTGTTTTGCCGTCGTTGCTTCCGCCATGCCTTTGCGGGAATGTCCCCTCTATTTCTCTGAGGCAGGAATTTCCGCCCTACGTTTCAGGCTCCTTCGATGTCGATGTCCACTTTGCCGTCGCTGTTTCCGCCATGCCTTTGCGGAACTGTCCGCCCCACTGTTGCGCACCGCTCGGGGTGTATTTCCGAGACAACCGCACATCGGAAGAACAACCAAATTACGGCGGGTCCGGAGTCAAGAGGGACCTCGGCGGGGGGGATTGGATCCGGAGCGGCGGCTGCGGGCCAGGGCGCTCCGTGCTGTCGCGGGCGCGGCCTGATCTGATCCCAATAGCCGCT